TTGTGTGTTTGTGTGTGTTGTGTGTTTGTGTGTTTGTGTGTTTGTGTGTTTGTGTGTTTGTGTGTTTGTGTGTTTGTGTGTTTGTGTGTTTGTGTGTTTGTGGTGTGTGTTTGTGTGTTTGTGTGTTTGTGTGTTTGTGTGTTTGTGTGTTTGTGTGTTTGTGTGTTTGTGTGTTTGTGTGTTTGTGTGTTTGTGTGTTTGTGTGTTGTGTGTTTGTGTGTTGTTGTGTTTGTGTGTTTTGTGTGTTTTGTGTGTTTTGTGTGTTTGTGTGTTTGTGTGTTTGTGTGTTTGTGTGTTGTGTGTTGTGTGTTGTGTGTGTTTGTGTGTTTTGTGTGTTTGTGTTTTGTGTGTTGTGTTTGTGTTTGTGTTTGTGTTTGTGTTTGTGTTTGTGTTTGTGTTTGTGTTTGTGTTTGTGTGTGTTTGTGTTTGTGTTTGTGTTTGTGTGTGGGAAGGAAAAGAGGGTTAAGAGTTCCGGCTGTGAGCGCGTTTGTCATTTTTCATGCCCGCGCCGCCGTCGTGCCAGTAAAGGGAGGGATGGTGTAACATTCGGAGTCTTGCTTGCGCGCGGAGTCAGGCATGTGCGCGCGTAAACACACACAGACAAACAGAGACACAGAGACAGACACAGACACAGGCCCAAAAGCTTTTCTTCTCTTTTAGCCCCCGGTACCGGAATCGCTCCGCCAGGCCCGTGCCGGGTTCGCTGCGTCCGCCGGGCTCTGACGGCGCGTGTGGCGTTCTGAGCGACACCTTCTCCCCGCTCCATGGAGATGTGTTGGGCTGGACGCACGTTTCGCGTGATTCATGCTTGGCGGCAGTCGCTGTTGCTTCCAGCAGACTTCGTGGCCTGGGCACTGAAAGCACTTTGATAAGGTTTTTACTTTTGATTTTTCATTCTCCTCGCCGAAGTGGTTGGGTCGGACAAGAGGCCAAGGCCATGCCGTAGAAGACCAACTTCTTGCTTGCCCCACCAGCAGCAGTGACTAGAGCCCGGAAAGGGCATCTGCTGCGACTGTCTGGCCAAAGCCAAGGTGCGGTCCAAAAACGGCAGACAACCACGCCAACTCACGTTTTTGAAGAAGAGCTGTCCCTGACGCGGCGCATCTTCACGCCGCGGCCACGCGGGTAATTTGTTTCACAGCAGATCAAGCGGGCGCTCCGCCGCATTGCCCGGAAGGCGGCTCCTTGGCCTTGCAGCCTGGCGCTCTGATTGCCAAAGGGTACGTCGAGCCTGTCAGCTACAACAACTACCAAGCGCGCCAGCCACTTTGTTTTGCGCAAGGGTTCGCTTGAAGGCTGGAATGAAGCAACGGAGCGCCGCCCAGGTCCCTCCTGCTGCGCACCCCCTTCGTGTTCGTCGCGCGCTATGACAGATTGTGGGCACCAACACCTTAGCCACAGCCACTCGCATGTAGCGCTGGCTCACAGGTTCACACCCATAGATCTCTTGGCTTCGCTGACGAGAAGTCGTAGCCGCAGATCAAGGCAAGCATGAGCAAGAGCACAAGGGCTTCAGCAAAGTTTTGCATTCCAGCAAAAGTTGGCAGGCCCAAAGGCTGCGCGCAAGATCTACGCGGAAAGCAAACCCGCAGCCCAAATTTCCCGGCTAGACTCGTGACCTTTGTTTGGTTCCACGTTTCTCTTTTTGGGCGAGATTTTTGGAAGAGAAGTTTGCCCTAGTGAGCTGGCGCCACCTCAAGTGCGCCACTCAGTGCTGCTGAAGTCTTTCAGGGAGAGCTGCTCAGTCGAAGTGGTTTACGCTGTCAAGCTTTGGCTTCAGCGTCCGGTGGCACAGGCAATTTCATTTATGCCTCGCTAGACAGCGCACTTGATTCAACAGCGAAGAAATGCGCTCAGCGCACAAGGAGCCACCAACAACCTTCTGCCCGCTGCTCAGACGATACTCAGTGGACAGGTCGTAGCACGAACCTGCTTGCGCTGCGTGTCTGCTTTGTGGCAAAACTTCATGTTGCCAGGGCGCCTCACTGCGCTGCACAGCCTGCCCTGGCGCCGCGCTGGTGAAGGATGCTTGAAAGTCGTTGCACTGGGAACCTGCGTGAGCAAAAGTAGCAGCTTGAACAATTGCGCGCTGATGAGCCGCCGTGGGCCACTGAAGACTTGCAAGTGCAAATTTGGCTTCATGGGTGCGCAGTCAAGGGTCGTGGTGCCCTGGTCTGCGGGTGCTGGTTGGAGTCGGTTGGGTTCGTTGGGTCTGTCGGGCAGGACGGCCGAGCGAAAACATGATGACTGACGCTTCAAAGTCCCAAAAGAAAATGCACAAGCCTTGGCACTCACACAGCAAGTGTGCGCGCGTGTGTGTCAAAATCTTTGGATGTTTTTCTTCGCTTTAATTTGGGCCACACTTAGCTTTCGTATCGCCAATGCTGAGCTTAGCATTGGACACATGAGATTGGCTGACCCGAGGTAGCCCGCATGCTCAAAGAGCGCGGAAAACTTGTGGATGCGCCGGAAGACTGCGCTGAGACCAACTTCCTCAGTCGCAACTCGGCGGCATGTGGCCGGGAGGCCCTCATCAGAAAACAGGTGGGAAGAATCTTGGACGCAACCATCGTTTGCTTTTTTCCTCTACCTTTTCAGAGGCAACCAGGCAACGACAACTGACAAAGATATAGGCTTTTTTTGATGAGGGGGCGAAGAATGCATTAAAACGGCGCGTCTTGTTTGGTTTGCCCTGGGTTTGAACAGATGCACTCACGCGCGGCTCCTGCTTGCCACATTTGGCTCAAGCCCGGTTCTTCAGCACTCTCATTCTCGCAGCACCACTACAGATCAGAGTGCTGACCGCTTGGTGTATTGTGGTATTGTTATATTTGTTCAGTGGAAACCAAACACTGCTATTTATATAGATATGTTGGCCTTTACCTCCTCATTACATATATTGACACCCTTCATCATCGGAATAGATCCCGTTCATTGTTCGGGTTCGCTTGAAGCACCCGACCCCCCACAACTGTCACTGGAAAGCAGTGCAAAATTGCCTCCATCGTGCTGCCGCCGTATGAGGGTTTGAAGATCTGTTAAGGGACGGGATTACATTCACAGTCGTAGAGTCGCAGCGCCCGCTTCTCAAGACGCCCGTCTGGACAATCAAAAAACTCGTTGGTCCCGACGCCGGACTGGACTATTTCCTGGTTTTTGCAGCACCACGTCGTAGGTCAAACTGTTTTGGGACCACCAAGCACTAGAGCTCCAATCGGTAAGCTTCTGCCGATGTGTCGGCAGGAGGCTGCGTGGCTTCCTGCGCGTCGGCGCTGTGATCCACAGCCAAAGTTGTCCTTGCCGGAATATTGAAATCGCTACGCGATCCGCCGACGCCAGTGGACAGTCGCTTATTAATAAACCGGGGGTGCTTAGGGTGCTGGAAATTCAAGGGATGCAACCACGCAACGTACAGGAACAGACCCAATGTTCGCATCCATCACGCAAAATCGACCAAACGCAGAAAATACCAGAGATGTCGGGAATGCTGGGAATGCAGCCGGCTAGCCGCAAAAATCCATAACCAATTCATGGGGTCTAGATTCATGGGGTCTAGATTTGGGGGTTTTTGGCTATCTCGAATTATCTCGAATTATCTCGAAGATGTGAGTCAGGTTGAAAGCAACTTGCATGTTTGGGATTTGTTTCTGCCTTTCTTGTCATTTGTATGATGTGTGTCTTCATGAATACCGTGCATTTTGTTGTTTTGCATTCACATTCTATAAATATATTTGTGAAAATGCTGACGTAGGGTGGTCGGTCATTTTTTTCCCGCAATGATCTTAGACTTTATTGCATCGGCTCAAAGCCGTCGGGGGGCGGTGATGATGTCAAACAGTGTGTTCGTCGCGTTGCCTTCGACAATTTCAATCAATGTCCTGCGTATATATCATCAACCGAAATCCCTTCTGATCAAGGACATGGTGGAAGACGCGTACAGAAGTGACTGGACAGACATGGACCTGCATTTGGAAAAGGAGTGGGCAAGATTTGCAAAGGACGGGCTGGGATATGACCAGGTGACGAAGGCGAGAGTGACAGTGACCACCATGATCCCTCCTGCCCAAAGCCGAACGCTCCCAAACTCATGATTGGAAGCTTGGCTGTCGGGCTGCGGGTCCATGAGTTGGGTGAAACAAGTCAGGTCGGGAAACCTGTGCAGCCGGATCTGGTTGTTGCTTTGAATGCAGCTCAACAGCAGTAGAACGCCTAACCTATGGCCTGTGGGATAAAACCCATCTACAGGGTGAGGAGCGGAACCTCTTCAAGAACGACTTCAAACGGACTTGGCAGCACATGTACAATGACATCAAAACTACACGGGCTTGGACTGAAGGGCGTTGTCGCATCTTGCTTCATTGCCCATCTGCTGCTGTGGCGTTCCTATTGATGCACCATCGATGTAGCCTTGAAACTGCAGTCCAATGCATTTTGAGAAAGAGAAAGTCGCTGCGAATGTGGTGCAACAGGGAGTACATCATTGAAGCTCTTGTGGCACTGGAATATTTGATCTTGTCAGAGACCTCTGAGACTCTGAGCCACCAGGTGTGAGTTTTGAGCTCCAACTTAGTTTCACCCTGTAACAGTGCTTTTTGCGAAACGAGCAACAAATGACGTGTGTGTGTCACAACCCACGATCGTCCGTTCAAGCTGTTCATTTTTTGCATTGCCAAAAGTAATTAGTAATAAGCTGATAATACAACTTAGTATTGCCCCACTCCCTTCACACCCCAGACAGTTGACTGACCAGCCAACAGAATGACTGAGAGGCTGACTGCTGGCGCGTTGATGCGACTTTGACTTTGATGGACCTGTTACTGAGCTACTGACCCCACTGACTGACTTGTTGACGTGCTTACTTTGCAATTAAATTGTGCTACGGACATTGTGTGTGACATTGTCAACAAATGCATTGCTGCAATAGTTGGACCTGAGGGTGACTGAACCGTGCCCATAGTAGTGTTGAGGCCGCCTCGCTTCCAAGATGAAGCGCTCTGCTGCCAAAGCGGTTACGAAGCGCCCTGCTGCCAAAGCGATTATGAAGAGTTCTGCTGCTGCAAGAATCGAGAAGCGTCCGGCCATGCAGGTGGATGATGACGAGGACCTGGAATCTCTTCGTCTGGTGGCCAGACTCAGAATGAGAACGACTTCCGCTTTAACAAATGGCATTTGTGGCGCGAAAGGGAAAAGGATTTTGATCCTGGTTAAAGTATTTGGCACTGATGATAAGGATATTGCACATTTGGTGGAAGTACATCACGGACGAGTTGAAACGGAATTTCAGTGATCGTCGGATCCGCGGATATATCTCGGCTGTGGTTAGGTACCTTACGACTCCAGGCTCTTCAACTCATGAATGGCTTTGGCTATCAAGGTCGCCAGTGCTGTCAGGGGCGTCAAGGATCGTTTGATTGATCCAGAAACCGAAGCAGGTTCAAGTTCAAGCTCTGAAACATCATTTGAGATATGACAATCCAACCCAGCAAGCCAAACAAGCAAGCTAAACAGTGTGTTCCTTGATTCCATGGCAGCACTGGTGGGATGTGGAGCCGGCGTGTTTGAAAGTTAGTGTTTGGTGTTGTGTTACCAAAATTCCGACCTGGCAGGTGCTGGTGGCTGAATCTGGACTTTTGCATCATCAGTGTCAGGAACTCAGGCTGCAGGGGAGTTTAGCTGTTGCTTTGTGTTTGCTGTCTGTGACTGACCTGACAACTGTTTGTGTATGCCATGACTCAAGGAAAACAGTGTGTTGCCCCTGTGCTCTTTGCATCGTTGCCATGTCGCGCCGCACTTGTAGCTGTGGCCCTACTGCCACCCCGCTCAAGAAGCAGAAAGATGACAGCGGCGGCGCCAGCCGCAGTAACAAGATCTACGGGGCAGGCCCAACAGTTTTCTACGTCCCAGTCATTCGAGAGGCCTGGCTCACATTGGGTGGGACTGACTACATGTGAGCAGCCGCGCACTGCGCATTGTGCAGGTGCAATTTCTGTGGGGGACAAAAAATGTGAGCCCAGCTTACCTCGCTGCGCTCGAACCTGAAGGTGGCAGTGGAGAGGGGAACGTGGTACCGGAGCGACAACTATCCTGAGGCCCAGTGCCTTAGCCTAACTGCTAAGAGTTCCTAATCCGCATATTCATATTCATATGTGAGTGTGACTGGGACAATGTGAGGCCGTGCTGGTTGCTGCTGCTGTTGCTGTTGCTGTTGATGTTATTGTTGTTATTGCTGTAGTTATTGGTGTTGTTGTTCTTATTGTTGTTATTGTTGTTACTGGTATTGTTGGTCATTTGTGCTTTTGTTTGTGGTTGTTGGTCTTGCTGCTGCTGCTGTTGTTGTTATAATTGTTGCTTCTTTGTCTTCGTCTGTCTTCTTCTTCTTGTTGCTGTTGGTGGTGGTGATGGTGCACAGCTGCGAAATTACTACAGACTGCCTGCTGGAATTGGCAAACAGGTCAACTAACATGGTAATGTAATCTTGAACAGACACAGTCAGTTGTCAGCTGAGTCCGGAGATCATGTACATCAAGATGTCCGTGACGAAGCTGGGAATGAGCACACTTCAACAGGACAAGATGCCAACTTGCCAGGTCACGGTCAATGCTGTGTCGTGTTCTCGTGGTGCTTTCTGACGACCAGGTCAGATGGAGACGCTCATTTTCGTTCCTCCTGTGTGTGACGGTGTGCTGTCTTCAGCCAGAACTCAGTGACATTAGCCTTGAGCCAGGACTCAGTGTCATTAGCCTTCAGCCTTCAACCTTTGTGAAGCCAGACGCTGTGTCAGTCGTGTCTTTGCAGGGGCCAGCCATGTCACAGGCCTGCTTTAGCCAGGGCGCACAAATCCGTGGGGCAATTGCCACTCCGGAGCCCAGCAGCCCAGCGCCTGCGAAGCAGCATCACAGGCTTTCCGCTCCGCCATTGCAAGGTCAAACAGTGTGTCATTCTTTGCGGTACAGATATCTGGGGGCCGGCTGTCACCGAGATGCTTAGGTGACTCCAATAGGTTGGTGATGAAGGTGTCCACCAGCAATGACCGGCTGATGCAACAGGACATCTGCTGCATGAATGGCGAATGGCGTTCCTGAAATGCTAGCCTATCTCCCACACCTGATGCAGGGGGATGTGGAAAGCATCGAGTCATTGCAGTCTTCTGCAAACTGCAATGGGTGATGGAGAGAGTGTGGCAAGACGGGCGGTGGAGCGCAGCAACGGCTCTATGTGGCTCTTGTGGCCTGTTTGTTTTGAATGTGCAGGAGGCGGCTGCTGCGGAGGCAAATGGCCAATTGATCTCGGAGTCACAAAGCGTCTTGAAGCTGGCAGGCATGAGCTTGGCACATGTGACACCAACGGCCTCACTAAAACCAAGCCATCACGTTGGCTTTTATTCCACACGCGTATCCAGGTGCTGATGTGCGCCAGCAGTTCGGTGCCTGCAAATGCTGGGAGCACTTAGGGAAAGGAATGATGCCAGGCCCCCCTCTCTTCGGCAAGGCTTGAGCCCTT